CTGGGACCAGCTGTCTAGGGTTGGAGTAGCTATCTTTGATCTTGACTTTGATGCTATTCTTGCTGCTATGTATGCTGTGACTATTAGTGAGGATGGTGACTGTTACCGGTGTTTCCCGCCCGACCCGGGCATTGGTACTGCGGCTCTAGGTGCTGTTGAGGCTGCTGCTCCAGGTGCTGGTGAGGCTGTTGCTCTAGGTGCCAGTGAGTCTGAGTCCTCAGGTGCTGGTGAGTCTGCTCTCTCAGGTACTGTGTCGACTTCACCCTCTCTCACTTTCACTCTTGACTCCGGGGCGTCTCGCTCCTTCTTTCGAGACCGCACCACACTCACGCCGCTTAGTCGGCCAGTGGCGGTCTCCTTGGCAGACCCCTCCGGGGGTCCTGTTCTGGCTCGCTACTCCACTGTCCTGCCGTGCCCTGCGGTCCCGTCTGGCGCCCTGTCCGGTCTCTACCTCCCCTCGTTCTCTACGAACTTGGTGGCGGGTGCTGACCTACAGGATGCAGGGGTTGACCAGTTCACCCCTGCGCGCCGACGAGTCACCCACTGCACGGACGCGGACACGGGTCGACACCTGACCACATTCACACGTGGTCCAGGGTCGAGCCTGTACACACTCACTGTGCCGTCTCCTTCTCCTGCGTCTGGTCAGGTAGCTGCGTCGGGTCAGGTGTTTGCTGCAGCGTCCAGGTCTGGTCCTGAGTCTGCCCCCTGCTCGTGTCGCCTCCTGTCCCACGAGACCCTCCTGTGGCACCACAGGATGGGTCACCCCTCCCTGCCTCGTCTCCGGGGCATGGCCTCTCGCCTTCTTGTCTCTGGCCTTCCCCGATCCCTCCCTCCCCTTCCTCCGGGGCCTGGCCCTCCCTGTGTCCCCTATGTCGAGGGTCGCCTGCGGGCTACCCCTCACTCCTCCCCGTTCCCTCCGACGGAGGCCCCGATGCAGACGCTTCACATGGACGTGTGGGGCCCAGCCCGCGTCCGTGGACAGGGTCACGAGCGCTACTTCCTGCTGGTGGTTGACGACTACTCGCGTTACACCACAGTCTTCCCCTTGCGCAGCAAGGGTGAGGTCACTGAGGTGTTGATCGACTGGATCCGCGCAGCTCGTCTCCAGCTCAGGCGGAGCTTCGGCTCGGACTTTCCTGTTCTGCGTCTGCATTCGGACCGAGGCGGAGAGTTCTCCTCCGGCCTTCTGCGAGCCTACTGTCGGGCACGAGGCATCCGCCAGACCTTCACGCTTCCGGACTCTCCACAGCAAAATGGGATTGCTGAGCGCCGCATTGGCATGGTCATGGATGTCGCTCGTACGTCCATGATGCATGCGGCTGCCCCCCATTTTCTGTGGCCGTTTGCGGTGAGGTACGCGGCGCATCAGCTCAACCTTCACCCCCGGGTCTCTCGGCCTGCGATGTCCCCAGCCTTGCTGTGGACGGGGAAGGTTGGCGATGCGTCTGTGTTCCGTGTCTGGGGATCTCGGGCGTTTGTCCGCGACTTGTCTGCGGACAAGCTGTCCCCTCGTGCTGCTCCCTGTGTCTTCCTTGGCTTCCCCACAGACGCTCCCGGGTGGCAGTTTTACCACCCCTCCTCTCGTAGGGTTCTGTCCTCCCAGGACGTCACGTTCGACGAGTCAGTCCCCTTTTACCGCCTCTTCCCCTACCGCACTCCTTCCCTCCCCCCTCCGCCGGACTTCCTTGTGCCAGTTCCCCCCCCGGTAGACCCCCTCCCCCCTCAGGTTCCTGCCCCCTCAGGTGTGTCCCAGGTAGACGCAGTTGACCCGGTCGAGGTTACTGGTGACTTTGGTGCTGCTGCGGGTGCTGAGCCTGGGGGTGCTGACTCTTGGGGTGCTGTGCGCGGGGGTGCCGAGCCTGGAGGTGCTGCTACTGGGGGTGCTGAGCCTGGGGGTGCTGGGCCTGGGAGTGCTACTGCGGAGGGTGCTGAGCCTGGGGGTGCTGAGCCGGGGGGTACGGTGCCTGGAGCTGCTGAGCTAGGGGGTGCTGGGTCTGGGGGTGCTGGGTCGGGAGCTGCTGAGCCTGGGGGTACTGAGTCTGGAGCTGCTGAGCCTGGGGGTGCTACGTCTGGAGCTGTTGAGCCTGGGGTTTCTCCTGCTGCCGCGTCTCGCCGGGAGCCCCTCTCTCCACAGGAGCTGCGCGAGTGGTTTGCTCGCCGCTGGAGGCGTGCTGCTGGAGCTGGAGCTTCTTCGACCGTCGAGGGTGCTGGTGCTGCCGGTCCCGGAGCTGCTGAGTCTGCGGGTACTCCTGGAGCAGGAGCTCCTGAGGGTGTTGGTGCTGAGACTACTGCTGTCTGTCCCGGCGGTGGTTCTGCTGCTGGTGCTGCTGGAGGTCCTGCTGCTGGAGGTGCTGGTGGCGCTGGTGCTGTCGCTGAGGGTGCTGGTGCTGTACCTGCTGAGTCTGGAGTTGCCGCGCGGCCTCGACCGTACTTCGTTCCGCTCCTGCAGCAGGTTCTTGGTCTTTCTCCTCCGGTAGAGTGTCCACAGCCTGTCCAGTCGCAGTCCCTGTTGGAGCCTTCCTCTCCACTGCCTGCTCCCTCTCCTTGCACTGGTCCTACTGGAGGTCTTGCTGAGCGTCGTGAGCCTGCGTCTCATCCTGCGTCGCCTGTTTGTGCTGCTCGCACTAGTGGTCGCGGTTCGCGTCAGCGTCCTCCTCCTGTCCCTGGCACGCACCGGATGTCTCTGCGTCCGTCCACTGCTCCTCTGCGTGCCCCTTTGCCTTCTCCTCCTGAGTCCTCTCTTCCTGCGCTTGCCGACCCTGAGTCGGACTCTCTTCGTGCTGCCAGTCCTACTGTCACGCGTCTCCTTGCTACTGTCGTCACTGACCCCTCGTTTGAGTCCACTGCTGCGTCTGCCCTTGTCGCTGAGCTCGTCGACTTTGCTGCTCGCTGTCGTCTAGACTACGCTGCTAGTCTTGTTGCTGAGTCAGCGTCTGACTGTCCTCTGTGCGTCGGGGGTGACTGTGCTCTTGGCACGGACGTCCTAGAGGACAGGCAGGAGGAGTTACAGTGTCTGGCGGCTGCTTCACCTCATCTCGCGTCTGTACTGCTTGCTCCTGAGGGAGACCCGGATGCACTAGACATCCCGACTCCGCGCTCTTACGCGGAGGCCGTAGAGGGTCCCTACTCGTCTCAGTGGCAGGCAGCTATGGATGCAGAGATGGCTTCCTGGAAGTCCACAGGCACCTACGTTGACGCAGTTCCCCCTCCTGGGGCGAACATCGTCAGTGGCATGTGGATCTTCAGGGTGAAGCGGCCGCCGGGCTCTCCACCTGTCTTCAAGGCGCGGTACGTTGCTCGTGGCTTCAGTCAGCGGCAGGGAGTTGACTACTTTCAGACCTTCTCTCCCACCCCGAAGATGACCACTCTTCGGGTGCTGCTGCACATAGCCGCTCAGCGCGACTACGAGCTTCACTCTCTCGACTTCAGCACTGCGTTCCTGCAGGGTAGCCTGCACGAGGAGATCTGGCTGCGCCGTCCACCTGGCTTCACTGGGACTTTCCCTCCTGGCACCCAGTGGAGCCTCCGTCGGCCAGTCTACGGTCTCCGCCAGGCACCGCGTGAGTGGCACGACACACTGAGGACTACGCTTGCGGCTCTTGGGTTTGCTCCTTCTACTGCTGACCCGTCGCTGTTTCTGCGCACCGACACTTCTCTGCCGCCGTTCTACATCCTCGTGTACGTCGACGACTTGGTCTTTGCCACAGCGGACACTGCTGGACTCGCCTACGTGAAGTCCGAGCTGCTGAAGAGACACACGTGCACAGACCTGGGTGAACTGCGCAGCTACCTTGGCTTGCAGATCACTCGGGACAGAGCACGCCGCACCATTACCTTGACTCAGTCACACATGGTGCAGCAGGTCCTTCAGCGCTTCGGCTTCACGTACTCCTCGCCTCAGGCCACTCCTCTGTCTACCCGCCACTCGCTCTCAGCTCTGCCTTCGGATGAGTCCGTAGAGTCGAGTGGCCCGTACCCAGAGCTTGTTGGCTGCCTCATGTACCTGATGACCTGCACACGACCTGACCTTGCATACCCTCTGAGCATTCTTGCACGCTATGTTGCTCCTGGGAGACACCGACCAGAGCACATGGCTGCAGCGAAGAGGGTGTTGCGCTACCTGTGCAGTACGTCGGGCATGGGGCTAGTGCTTGGAGGGCGGAGTCCAGTGGTCCTTACAGTGCACGCGGACGCTTCTTGGGCCGACGACCAGGCTACGCAGCGGTCGTCACAGGGTTACACCTTCAGTCTTGGTTCCGGCTCTGTCTCGTGGCGGGCTACTCGCTCGTCTTCGGTTCTCAGCTCCAGTTGTGAGGCTGAGATCTACGCTGGGGCCATGGCTGCACAGGAGCTTCGCTGGCTCACCTACCTGCTGACTGACCTTGGAGAGCCGCCTCGTTCTCCTCCAGTGTTGTACGTAGACAACAAGGCCATGCTGGCCTTGTGTCGAGAGCAGCGTCTGGAGCACAGAACGAAGCACATTGCTCTTCGCTACTTCCTTGCTCGTGAGCTGCAGCAGCGTGGACAGTTGCGGCTTGCGTACGTGGCCTCTGAGGCCAACACTGCTGATGTGTTCACCAAGGCACTTGCGCCTTGTGACCATCAGCGCCTCTGCACCCAGCTGGGTCTTGTGCCTGTCTTGCCTCACTTGCTCTCCTCTTGACTTTACTTGTACTGTGACATATATATACCTGCTCTTGCTTGTCTAGTTTTATATATATATGTCTGTACTCCTGCATGTGAACTGGCCTCTGGCCCTGCTCTTGTGCTCGGACTGTGTGGTGACGTTGTGATCCACCCTGAGCTTGCTTTGCTTTGCTTTACTTGACTGGTCTTGTGACCCCTTGTTCTCCCCCACTTTGCCTATGGGGGTGTGTCAGATTTATATGACATAGTTGCTGTAGGCTATAGTGGGGTAGCACATATGGGGTACAGGGTTTCTAGGGTTGTATTTGTACCCAATCTTTCCTTAGTCATTTCATTCCTGTTCACTTATTTCACAGAAGAGACTTGCGCGGATCGAAGAGACTTTGTGGGCCGAAGAGACTTGCGCGGATGGAAGAGACACGAGCGGATGGAAGAGACACGCGCGGATGGAAGAGACACGCGCGGATGGAAGAGACACGCGCGGATGGAAGAGACACGCGCGGATGGAAGAGACACGCGCGGATGGACGAGACACGCGCGGATGGAAGAGACACGCGCGGATGGAAGAGACACGCGCGGATGGAAGAGACACGCGCGGATGGAAGAGACACGCGCGGATGGAAGAGACACGCGCGGATGGAAGAGACACGCGCGGATGGAAGAGACACGCGCGGATGGAAGAGACACGCGCGGATGGAAGAGACACGCGCGGATGGAAGAGACACGCGCGGATGGAAGAGACACGTGCGGATGGAAGAGACACGCGCGGATGGAAGAGACATGCTGCTGGCGGATGGAGCGATCAGCTGTGGTCGACAAATCAAACCAGCTAGTAAGTTCCCGTGCCCTCCGCTCTTCACTCTCTCTGTCCTGAGGTATCTCATTATAGTATTATATTTTTGTATTTGAAATTTCCATCGACGTTGCTCAACGGCAGGTCCCCCGGTAGCCCTTGGTCACCTACTTATCCTCCTTGGCTCTAATCCCTTCCTTCGCTCTGTGGCAGGGGGATCATGAGGACAGCACGTCTACAAGGGGAGGGCGAGCATGGTGGGATGACGCACGGCCGGCAGCCACGGGCGTATGGTTGCCCTACACGCCCTGCTGACCACCCGCTTAGGCGACGCTGCTGGCGGATGGAGCGAGGCGAGAAGGCAAAGAGAGGCAAAGGCGGATGGCACGAGGCGGATGGAGGGGCTGGCGTGGTGAAGGCGGTGTAATTCTGGCATGCAGCCATGCGAGGCAACGATCAGCTGCAGTCGACAACCAAAGCAACTGAGTTTCCTTACCCTCACCTCCTCACTCTCTCTCTCTTTTTGTCTTGGAATTTTTCACCGATGCTCTTGATAGAGGCGACACCCACGATCACGACCTTCTCCGGATGTGAGTGACTGAGTTCCCTTGAGCCCTTTACTCACTCTATTGAGCTCTCTCGCTGTCTTATTCCTTGCCTCCAATGCTTTCATCCACGCTCTTGATAGAGGCGACACCCACGGCCAGCACCCTCTCTGGACGTGAGTGCATCATCAGGTTAACCCTTGGTAAAACAGAAGGTCCCCCTGGTTCAAACTTGGTACAACAGAAGGTCCCCTTGGTTAACCCTTCAAACGCTGCTGCTTTTTGCTTGTTGCTGTTCTTGTTTGCGATTATTTCTAACTTGTTTGCTGTTTCTGTCTCAATCTTGTTTGGCATTACCGCGGTCTCCTTGTTTGGTGCACTTGTCTTGGTGCCTTGTATCCATCTACTTATCTCCCGTGGCTCTTCCTGCCTCCCATGGCTCTTTGGCAGGACAATCTTGAGGGCGGTGCGTGCCCGGTGCGTGCACGGGGAGAGGACAATGCAAATGGCGTGCATGCAAGGGGAGGGCGAGCGTGGTGACTGCCTCTACCCGCCCTGCTGACCACCCGTGTGCGAGGGCGAGGAGGCGGTGCTGCTGGTGGAGGGAGCGATTTGCTGCATTCGACCTTCAGACCCACTGAGTTCCCTTGCCCTCCGCTCGTTGCTCTCTTTCTTGAGCTCTCTCGCTGTCGTTCTTTTTGTCTTTGAATTTCTATCGACACTCGATCAAAGCGACACCCGCAACCACCACCACCTCCTCTCGAAGTGAGTGAGACATCAGGTTACCCCTTGGTGAAAAACAGAAGGTCCCCCCGGTTACCTCTCTTGTTCTCTCTCGTCAATCATCGATCTGTATTCTGCTAGTCGTGTTTGCCTTTTGTTCTTGTTTGCCGTTCGTTTTTGTTTGCCATTCATTCTTGTTTGCCACTCATTCTTGTTTTCCATTCATACTTGTTTGTCTTTCATTCTTGTTTGCCATTCTTGTTTGCAACTCATTCTTGTTTTCCATTCATACTTGTTTGCCTTTCATTCTTGTTTGCCATTCGCTCTCTCCGCTCTCATGTTTCCTAATTTCTCGCCCGTGGCGAGTTCCGTTCTGTATCCTCTCTCTGTTTTTGTTGCTCTCCATGCAGAGCCAGCAGAGGGCGGCAGTGGGATGACGCACGCCAGGCAACACTGCTGCTGTCCGTCCTGCTGACCACTGCTCGCCTCTCAGGGAGCAGAGCACACTCAGCAAGAGCGCGTGCAACGGAGGCATACGGGCCGTGGGTGGCGCGCATGCATCCCGGATGGACGAGCGCACGCGGTGGGATGACGCACGGCCGGCAGCCACAGGCGTGTGGCTGCCTCTACCCGTGGCTGCCTCTACCCGCCCTGCTGACCACCTGTGTGTGAGGAGGCGGTGCTTCTGGTGGAGGCGGGTTCCATTATGGTGCAGTCGATAACGACTCTAATTGAGTTTCCTTACCCCCGCCTCTTAACTCTGTCTCTTAATCTCTTTGTCATTCATTCTCGTTTGTCTTTGGAATTTTCATCGACACTCTTGGCAGCAACGACCTTCTCTGGATGTGAGCTCTCTTGAGCCCTTTACTCCCTCTCTCTTTTCGTGAATCTCGCTGGCGTTCTCCTCTGTCTTTCAACTCTTCATCGATAGAGGCGGCAACGACCTTCTCTGGATGTGAGCTCTCTTGAGCCCTTTACTCTCTCTCTCTCTTGAGCTCGAGACAAGGCAAGGCGAGGTGAGGTGAGTTGGAGAGAGGCGGTGTGGAGCGCAATCTCCCCTAGGGCGGATTGAGCGAGGCTCTTTTCAGGAGGATCCAAGGCACAACGGATCCAGCGGGAGAGGAGCGAGCTCAAGGACTTGCTCTGGTGGGTGGGTGCATGGTGCCGCTCTGGTATGTGTGTGCTGACTGGATTCTACGGTGCTCACAGATTGAGCAAGCGATTTGTGGCTGGAGGACCCAAGGCCCGGTGGATGCAACGAGGATGGACGCATCCTGCTGCTCATCGAGAGAGGTGAGATGTTTGTGGCGCAATGAGAGGTTGTTTGTGGCGCAACGTGGTGGGACGACGCACGGCCGGCAGCCACGTGCATGTGGCTGCCTCCTACCCGCCCTGCTGACCACCCGCTTGGAGAGAATTTCTCCAGTGGCCAATCGGGTGATTCATTCTCTCTCGGGGGGCCTCGATTTACTCGAGTGGCCACGAAATTGGGTGATAATTACTCGAGTGGCCACGCCAGGGGATTCCTGCTCGCTTTTTTTTCACTGGCGAATTACCCTATGGGGATTTGTAGCCTCGAAATTCCTTATTCGTGGGAGTGGTATTCCTAGGTAGTGTTCCGTTCTGTTCCGCAACTTCAAATTTCGCCAGGCTCACGGACGCGAAAGTGGCCCGCCCACTGTACAAGAAACCGACCAACAGTACATTGACCGGTCAGTTTCGGCCAAATGCGCGACCAATGAGCTCGCGGTCCATCTAATTCCGAACGAATCAGCGATCGAGCATATAACTTCTCGATCATATAATCCTATAGACCCGAAGCGAACAGCCACACCCCTAATGCACGCGCATGATACGTAAAAAACATGTGCGGTGCATATGTTGCCATTGAGCGTCCAATCAGGCACCATCATTGAATTCCCCATCATATACCGAAATGATCGGCCATCAATTCGCGATAAACTAAATTACCGCGCGTGACTGGTTTGTTTGATTCTCAGGATATGCTTTGCCATTGAGCGTCCAATTATCCCCGTCCAAATGAAATGGCAACCATATATAAAATAGGACCGCACACTAACAAATATTAGTGCGCATATGATTTGTCCAAGTTGTGTGCTTAGGGTGCATATAAAACATACTCTTAAATCCCATACAGCCATATAGTAAATTGTGTTTAATGAACGCGTTCAAATATGATCGGCAATCCGTAAATCTTGCGCCTGATTAGACGCGCAGTGGCAACAAATGCACCACTCTATCTCCTGACCAATCGAGCGCGGTCGTTTTGCTGTGTCGGTTCGTTTCGGGTGAAATGCAGCATATGATCGCGAAGTCATTTACTCGATCGCTGATTGGATGTTAATTAGATGGACCGCGCGCTCATTGGTCGCGCATTTGGCCGAAACTGACCGGTCAATGTACTGTTGGTCAGTTTCTTGTACAGTGGGCGGGCCACTTTCGCGTCCGTGAGCCTGGCGAAATTTTAAGTTGCGGAACAGAACGGAACACTACCTAGGAATACCACTCGCACGAATAAGGAATTTCAGGGCTACAAATCCCCATAGGGTAATTCTCCGGTGAAAAAAAAAGCGAGCAGGAATCCCCTGGCGTGGCCACTCGAGTAATTATCACCCAATTTCGTGGCCACTCGAGTAAATCGAGGCCCCCCGAGAGAGAATGAATCACCCGATTGGCCACTGGAGAAATTCTCTCACCCGCTTGCTGGCGGCTCGCGAGGCGAGGCGGATGGAGCAAGGACGGAGCGAACGAAGCTTTACTTTGCCCATGCGTGTGCTCTGCACCTGCTGCACCCGTGGGGTGAGGTGGAGGTGTGAGAGGGAGTGGTTGATGGGTTGGAAGAGGAGGAACTTGGAGAGGGATGATGTCGTATGTGGAAGGGGACTAAAGCTGCGGAAAGAGTGTGTCGAGGTGATCCTTTGATTGGGGGGTGGCTCCCCCTCTCGTTGGCTCTCACTCTCCCTCTTGCCGAGCGGAGCTGCGGGAAGAGTGTGTCAGGGTGGTGTTACTTTCAATTGTGGGCTGGCCCCCCCTTTTGTTAGTTCCCACTCTCCCTCTTGCCCAGCTGAGCCGCGGCGCGGTAAGCGTGTGTCGGGATGCGTTGCTTCGATTGGGGGCTGGCCACCTTCGATTGGGGTTTCTCATCCTCCCGCTTGCCCAACCGTTGGCTCCTCCTCCCTGACCACTTTACTTCAGTACCCTATTCCTGGTAACTCCTCTTTCCGTCTCTGACGCCCTCCTGATCAGCACTCCTCTTTTCGTCAACGTTGGACGTGAGTGCAACGCCCACGGCCGCCTTCTCTGCATGCGAGTGCAACGCCCACGGCCGCCTTCTCTGCATGCGAGTGCAACGCCCACGGCCGCCTTCTCTGCATGCGAGTGCAACGCCCACGGCCGCCTTCTCTGCATGCGAGTGCAACGCCCACGGCCGCCTTCTCTGCATGCGAGTGCAACGCCCACGGCCGCCTTCTCTGCATGCGAGTGCAACGCCCACGGCCGCCTTCTCTGCATGCGAGTGCAACGCCCACGGCCGCCTTCTCTGCATGCGAGTGCAACGCCCACGGCCGCCTTCTCTGCATGCGAGTGCAACGCCCACGGCCGCCTTCTCTGCATGCGAGTGCAACGCCCACGGCCGCCTTCTCTGCATGCGAGTGCAACGCCCACGGCCGCCTTCTCTGCATGCGAGTGCAACGCCCACGGCCGCCTTCTCTGCATGCGAGTGCAACGCCCACGGCCGCCTTCTCTGCATGCGAGTGCAACGCCCACGGCCGCCTTCTCTGCATGCGAGTGCAACGCCCACGGCCGCCTTCTCTGCATGCGAGTGCAACGCCCACGGCCGCCTTCTCTGCATGCGAGTGCAACGCCCACGGCCGCCTTCTCTGCATGCGAGTGCAACGCCCACGGCCGCCTTCTCTGCATGCGAGTGCAACGCCCACGGCCGCCTTCTCTGCATGCGAGTGCAACGCCCACGGCCGCCTTCTCTGCATGCGAGTGCAACGCCCACGGCCGCCTTCTCTGCATGCGAGTGCAACGCCCACGGCCGCCTTCTCTGCATGCGAGTGCAACGCCCACGGCCGCCTTCTCTGCATGCGAGTGCAACGCCCACGGCCGCCTTCTCTGCATGCGAGTGCAACGCCTATGCCTACGGCGGCCTTCCATCCCCTTCTGTAAGTTTGCATTCCGCTTTTGGCTTCCTTCCACCGTCTAATGCTGTTTGCTTTCTCATGTTTTTATCAGACAGCAAGGCATGGTCGGAGTTGAGGAGATGGAGGGAGCGCGGTGCGGTGGGGTGCGGTGCCAGCAGACGGCAGCAGTGGAGGGAGGAGGATGGAGCAGCAGCTGCCACCAGAGACGCCCTACTTTCAGAAGGGAGTATGGGGCTGATGGGAACCACTTCGTTAGTTTCTTGTTTTTTCCTTGTCGCATGTTTTGTTTTCCTTTAACATTCTGTTTGTTTTTACTTGACCCTTCACCAGCAACTCATTTTTCCTCCTTAGCTTCCTCCTCTTGCATTGCTGTGTTGCTACAGGTCGTGGCATGGCGGGAGAGGATGGCAGCAGCATGAGAGGCGCGGCAGCATACTCGGGAGGGAGGATAAAGGCGGGTTGAAGCGGAGGGGGATGGAGCAACCTACTCCTTCTTTTAGAAGGGAGTAGCAATTTAGTTCTTTTCTAGTTCTCCTGTTTGTTTTCCTATTTGTTTTCCTCATCGCAAGTTTTCGCTTGTGTTTTGCATTCCGTTTTCACTTGACCCTTCACCAGCAACTCATCTTTCCTCCTTAGCTTCCCCCTCCTGCATTCTCGTGTTGCTACAGGACACGGCATGGCGGATTGGAGAGCTGGAGAGGACAGCAGCAGCACGAGAGGCGCGGCAGCGTACTCGGGAGGGGGGATGGAGGGCGGTTGGCGCGCGGAGGAGGATGGAGCGCCGTCTGCCACCAGCAACGGCTTCTTTCACAAGGGAGTATGGGGTTGCGGGGAGCATCGTTGTTTGTTTCTTGTTTTCTTGTTTTCTTGTTTCTTTCTGTTGTCGCAAGTTTTGCCTTCTGCTTTCATTCCGTTTTCGCTTGACACTTCACCAGCAACTCATCTTTCCTCTTTAGCTTCCCCCTCCTGCATTCCCGTGTTGCTATAGGACGCGGCATGGCGGATTGGAGAGCTGGAGAGGACAGCAGCAGCACGAGAGGCGCGGCAGCGTACTCGGGAGGGGGGATGGAGAGCGGTTGGCGCGCGGAGGAGGATGGAGCGCCGTCTGCCATTAGCAACGGCTTCTTTCACAAGGGAGTATGGGGTTGGGGGCAGCATCGTTGTTTGTTTCCTGTTTTCTTCTTCCTTGTCGCAAGTTCCTTGTTCCTTGTTTTCTTGTTCCTTGTTTTCTTTTGTTCTGCATTCTCTTTTCACTCGCTCTTCATCAGCAACTTATTTGTCCTCTTCAGTCTCCTCCCGGATTCCTCTGCAGGATGCATCTTGGCTACTAAGGATCTGGTGAGGACTGGACAGCCCTGGAGGAGCGGCAAGAGCGCATGGAGCAGCATGGTGGCTGCACCACCGCCAGCACCGGGAGTGCCAACACCAGCAGCACCAGCATGGGGAGTGACAACAGCAGCACGAGGAGTGACAACAGCAGCACGAGGAGTGACAACAGCAGCACGAGGAGTGACAACAGCAGCACGAGGAGTGACAACAGCAGCGCCAACATCAGCCCCGGCGGCACCAGGCTAAGGTGGTCTGTTCGTGCGCCCGTGCCCTGTCGAACATGTGCCGACCGTAACCTGTTCGTGCGCCCGTGCCCTGTCGAACCTGTGCCGACCGTAACCTGTTCGTGCGCCCGTGCCCTGTCGAACCTGTGCCGACCGTAGCCTGTTCGTGCGCCCGTGCCTTTGTCGAACCTATGCCGACCGTAGCCTGTTCGTGCGCCCGTGCCTTGTCGAACCCGTGTCGACCGTAACCTGTTCGTGCGCCCGTGCCCTGTCGAACCTGTGCCGACCGTGCTTGCAATGCTCCCGCGTCCCTCCCTCCCGCAGGTGCAGTGAGCCTGGGACAGCACTGTCTGCCTGAGGTGCATCGTTTGCCTTATCTCCTGCCCCGGGGGCAGGAGCATTGTTTGCCTCATAGCTTGTCTCCTCTCTTTGTTTCTCAGCCCCCCCAACAGGGTCCCAAACGATGGCCTCCACCTCACCGTGGTGTTTGGGTGTAACGTCAGGGGCAACCCTGGCGGCCAAGAGGGGCCCTACCAAGGAAGCAAGGAAGACCCCTCCAAGTGCAATGGCAGTACTGGATTTTGTAACACTATAATGCTGCAGTAGTACAGAAATTCGTAACATAATAATGCTGCTGTAGTAGTTGCAGCACAGGATTCTGCAACAATACAGGACTACAGTAGTGTAGGCAGTGCAGGATTTAACTACGGTAACAATACAGTACTGCAGTAGTAGAGGCAGTGCAGGATTTGACAGACAATGCCGTACAGTACTGCAGTAAAGTACAGTAGTAGTGGCAGTACAGGATTCTACAGACAAAACAATATGGCAGTAGTGGAGGCAGTACAGGACTCTACAGAAAAGACAGAACTACAGTAGTTGAGACAGCACGTGATGCTACAGACAATACAGAACTGCACTAGTAGAGGCAGTACAGGGAATTTAGTGCTGTACTATGTCGGCAGTACATGATTCAGGAAGATGGAAATACCAGCAGCACTGCATCCATGCAATGGCAACACAGAATAGCAAACAGGTATGCAGAAACCATTATGTTTTGAGGTTGACTGATTCACTCATTGATCAAACGGAACCGCTGCATTGTACGGTACTAGCACTCTTGTACGCGCTACAAGCTAAATGTCGAGATATCAACCCTTCACTTTCAGCCACGTCGCACCACATTCCCTATCAACCTCTTGTTCTTCTCGTTATCCGCCTTCCTCCAGCTCCTCTCCAGCCAGTCCACGGCTGCTGGAGAGTGGTCTGGCGGTCGTCTTTTCATGCTGTTTCGCGTCATCACAGCTTCAATGCGAAGAATTGGGCTCCTGTTGAGTTCTTCTGTCCGCTTCGTCCCACGGCTTCATCGACGACTGTTCCGTTCATTCATATACCGAGACGGACATCAAACTCGAAGATGTTCCGTCGACTTTTAGGCTGTGATAGTCTGTTCATCCATGATTAGGTTTAGACTTCGCGTGCACTGGCGTTTCCCGCCAGACTTCCGTGCTAACCCTGTTTCTACGACAAGCTAGCCACCTTCGCGGAAGCATCATGGCATATGACGCCGATCAGGAGGCGTTACGCGGCGTCGCGTACGTGCCGCTAGAGATCGAGGATCCGCCGGAGCCGGCGAACAGTAGACGTGCGACTGCCAGGGACCCACGCCAACGTTCTTCTACCGGATTAGGGTTTCGTAGCAAACGTGATTATAACGAGTTTCACGAGTTTCATGAGTTCCAAGCCGCTCTGGACCAGGACAGTCAAGCCCGTACTCCATCAGAAAGCCGTCTCCAAACCTCAAACCTGCAGCACAGGCTTGGAGCTGCTGAAATTGACGTACATCCGAACCTGAACAGCAGGTTCGGTGCGGCCGAGCTTGACGTGCAGCTCGGCCCGCCGGACCTGACAGAGGAGGGAGCGAGAGAAGAAGTGGGCGAAGATTGGCGAAGAGTTGGCGACGTGGACGGGTTCATGCGAGGCGTGTACGAGTACTACTGCGGGCGAGGCTTCGTGTGCATGGTCACGAGTGTGAGTGACGACGTCCCTATGGCTACCGGTGCTCGTCAACTCTCCGCTCCCATCCTCCATTTCCCTCTCGCAAGCTCGTAAGCTCTTCCCGTTTTACTCTCTCCCCGCGACCCTTCTCCCTCCCCCTTCCCCCTTCCCCCTCCCCGCCCGTCATCCCCTCCCCCATCCCCCTCCGCCCAACGGTGGCAGTGGGTGGTGCACCTTTGCAGCCTGGCCTTCACCATCCTCTTCTCCGCGCTGCTGCTGCTCCTCATCGACTGGCGCGCGCTCCTCTCGCTCAACTGCTCCGCCGCCTCCGCCGCCGCCGCAGCCGCCGCCATCTCCGCCGCTCCCCACGCTACTCCCGCTGCTGCCACCAGCGGTGGATTCGCGGCGACGGGGGCGGGTGAGCGTCCCGCTGTGCGGACACTGGCGGAGACGCGGGGCGAAAGGGAGTGGCGCGAGGGACGTCCGTACGAGCGAGATGGGGAGAGAAGCACACAGGGTAGGGGTGCAGGGGCAATGAACGGTGTTGGGCCAGACACGATTGTAAATAGTCCTGTATATAGAGGCTCATACGTAGGTGTATATAGTGGTGGGGATGGGTCGAGAGTCGAAGCAGGCGCGCTGCAGGATGCGATAATCCCTGGGGAGCGGAGGAGGAGGCTTGTACAGGGGAGCGCAGCAGAGGAGAGAGTAGCAGCGGGAACGGAAGCAGAGAGGGGGTTAGCAGGGGAGAGGGTAGTGGTGGAGGGGAGAGTAGCAGAGGGCGCAGCAGAGGGTGCAGCAGAGGCGGCGATGCATGAAGCGGAGGGGGCAGCGGAGGGCGCATGCAACGTGCTGAAGCACGCCATAAGGAGGGACGTGTTCCGGCGTGTGACTGTGTGGGAGGTGACAGTAACGGCGTACCTGGCGCTGCTGTGCCTGTACTGGCTCCTCTGCTTCGCGCACTTTTTCCTGCGCCTCCCCGCGCTGCTGGAAACGCGCGCCCTCTTCCGCCACAGGTGCGTGCTGCGCGTGTACCGCCACAGGTGCGTGCTGTGCTGTGTGCTGCGCTTGCCCGTGACGTTGTAGGGCTGCTGCGCTGGATCCCCCATCAATGCATCCCCCATCAATGCATCCCCCATCAATGCATCCCCCATCAATGCATCCCCCATCAATGCATCCCCCATCAATGCATCCCCCATCAATGCATCCCCCATCAATGCATCCCCCATCAATGCATCCCCCATCAATGCATCCCCCATCAATGCATCCCCCATCAATGCATCCCCCATCAATGCATCCCCCATCAATGCATCCCCCATCAATGCATCCCCCATCAATGCATCCCTCTCTCCTCTTGTCCGTCTTCCTCCTTGCGCCTCTGACCCCCCATCCCCACCATCCCCACCATCCCCCCATCCCCACCATCCCCCCATCCCCACCATCCCCCCATGCCCGCCATCCCCCCATCCGCGCAGGTTGCGCCTGTCGGACCATCAGCTGCTCATGACGCCCTGGCCCGCCGTGGTGGCGCGCCTGGTGCGCGCGTGGAATGACGAGGGCGCAGGGGAGATGGGGGAGAGTGCGGGGGAGCGTGCAGGTGGCGGAGGGGAGGAGGATTCCAGCGAGGACGAGGAGGAGGGGGAGCAGCCACAGGAAAAGGGAGAGCGGGGTCTGGGGCAATGGCTGGAGGCAGACGCAGCAGGGGGAGGAGGGATTTCAGGAATGGGAGTGGTGCGAGGGATAGGAGGGCGAGGGGCAGGCAGGATGTGCGGAGGCAGGGCGCGGGTGGGGGGGCTGTCAGCGTACGAGGTGGCGGCGCGCATCACACGGCGAGACAACTACCTGGTGGCGCTCGTGGACTCGCGCCTGCTCACTGTGCGCGTGCCTGCCGGGGGGGGACATGGGGGATCGGGAAGCACAGGTGCTGCGCTCGCTGCTGCGCTGCTGAGTGCCGTGGGGCCGCTGCTGTCCTTCCACGTGGTGCATGAGAGGAGGCGGCGCAAGGGAAGGAAGGGGCGAGGGGAGGAGCGAGAGGAGGAGAGGGAGGAGGGGTGTGTGCGGGTGACGGTGCTGAGCAAGACGCTGGAGTGGGTGGTGCACTGGTGTGTGCTGCACCCCTTGCTGGACCGCCACGGTCGCCTGCACAAACACTTCCTGGACGACCCTGCAGCGCTGCGGCAAAGATTTATCCTCTCGGGGTGGCTGCTGGCGCTGCTGTCGCCGTTTGTGCTGCTCTTTGTGCTCTCCTTCTTCCTGCTCCGCAAGGCCCACCACCTCTACCATGAGCCTGCTGCTGCGGGCGTGCGCTCCTGGTCCAACCTCGCTCGCTGGATGTTCAAGGAGTACAATGAGGTGAGGCGGGACGTTTAAGGGGTGCAACGAGGTGAGGAGGGGTCTTGAGCACTGCAAGGAGGTGAATGCTGCTTGCCTGCCGCGTATCTCTCGAGATGTCCGACCTGCTACACATTCCCGTTTAACTGCCCTGGTTTCAACCCTAAGTCCGGCAATGAGACCCATCGACGTGCCCTGCTCCCCCCCAACGTCCCCCTCAGGTGGACCATCTGACCTCGCAGCGCCTGGACGAGGCATGCCCGCGCGCGGACGAGTACCTGGCGCAGTTCCCCTCGCCGCTGCTCGCCCTGGCCGCCAAGCTCCTCTCCTTTGTTGCTGGCTCCTTGGCTGCTCTGCTGCTCGCCTTGGCTCTCGCGGATGAGAAGCTGCTGGAAGCGCAGGTGAGGCACTGAGGAGGAGGTGAGCCCAAGGAGGTGAGGCTTCTCACCCGGTCGCAGTTTCCCTTGCTCATACTGGGCGCGGTGCTGGCAGCAGCACGGCCTCTTGAGTCAACTCGAAACGTCACCTCCTTTTCTGTCTTGTTCCCCTCGTGCACCCATCGTTCCCCAGCTCTTTGGGCGCGGCCTGGTGTGGTACGCGGCCATACTGGGCGCGGTGCTGGCAGCAGCACGGCCGGTGGCGCAGGCGGACAGGGCGGCGGGCAGTGTGGATCCCAAGGGCGCGCTGCTGAGGGCCGCAAGGCACACACACTTCCTGCCCACCCGGTGGCGCAGCAAGGCGCACACACAGAGAGTCAGGGACGAATTTCAGACGCTCTACCAGGTGAAAGTGTGTTGTGTGGGGCGTGTGCTTTGTGAGGGGCCTGTTTGGGCGCACTGCTGAGGGCCTGGTTGGGCGCACTGCTGAGGGCCGTGCAGCACACACACTTCCTGCCCACCCGGTGGTGCTGCAAGGCGCACACACAGCGAGTCAAAGACTCAGACGCTCTACCAGGTGTGTGCTTGTTGTGAGTGGCGTGTGTGTGACGGTTATGCTAGTGTGTGTGACTCCCCTGTAGCACCCTCCTTTCTTTCATTGTCACCCACTCCTGCTTATTCTCTTGCCTCGTTCGTCCTCCCCCCCTCCCTCTCCTGTCCTCTCCTCTGCTCTCATCTCATTTCCTCTGCTCTCATCTCATTTCCTCTGCTCTCATCTCATTTCCTCTCCTCTCAACTCATTTCCTCTCCTCTCCTCTCCTCTCCTCTCCCCTCCCCGCGTGTGCACGTCTGTGGACAGCTGAAGCCGCTGCTCTTCCTCGCGGACGTGCTCGCCATCTTCACCACGCCGCTCATGCTCTGGTTCATCCTGCCCCAGGTATTGCCTCCCCCCGCCCTGCTACATTCCTCTTCCTGCCCCCTCCATCCCACTGTTTCCCTCCATCCCATTCTTCATCCCTCCCTTTCCCCATCCGGCTCCTCGTATCCACCCGAACTCCGTCTCATATGACTGCCGTCACCTCTCGTCACCTTTCTCGTCTTAGTCTGCCCTTGTCTACCCCATCGGCCCACCTGCCAATCCCGCAGAGGGCGGACGCCATTCTCGCCTTCCTGCGCACCGCCTCCACGTACCAGGAGGGGCTGGGCCACGTGTGCTCCCACAGTGCGTTCCAGTCACAGGGGGAGCGGCGTGCCAGCAGCAGCGGGAAGAGTGCATGGAATGCGGATTCCAAGGGTGATGATGGCGCAAGCGACAGTGGCCAAGGGGGAGGTTGGAGCGAAGGGGGTGTGCGAGAGGGGGAGTGTGAGGATGGGCGTGGGGTGGGAGTGTGTGGAGGGACGGTGGGGGATATAGCTGTTGGTTTGGAGGATGGACAAGGAGGCTCGAAGTGGAGCCACAGAGGGGGGGTAAATGACGCATTGCTGGCAGTGGCTAGCAGTGAGAGCAAGGCAGAGGCTTCGTTTGCCAGGTGGGTGTGGTGCTGCTCATGGGGGTGCTTGAGTGAGGGTGCGCACTGGCTGATGGTGTGGTGTGGTTGGCTCCTCATTCCTAGCACACCCGTTTCATTGCCAGCATCCTGCTGCTTGGCTCTGGCGCTCTCGTGCTCTCCGTTCCCCTTCCTCTCTCCTCATCCTGCAATATCCCTCTTTCCCTCCCCCCCGTCCCCTTCTCTTGTACTCCACTGCTCCTCTACCCTTCCCCCCCTCCCCCTCTTTCCCTCCCTCTTCTTGTGCTGCCGTGCATACAACAGCTTCTGCGCCAGCTACCCATCATGGCAGCCCCATGCTTCAGCCCAGCGATTTCCAGCGCCCTTTGCTCTGCAGCAGCAGGAGAAGGAGCAGCAGCAGCAGCAACAGCAGGAGGGGCAGAAGCAGCAGCAGGAGGAGGAGGTGATGGAGTACCGGCAGCAAAGAAAGAGCATGCATGATCTGCTTCCCTTACAGGCACATTCTGTACAGCCACACTTACCGACTGCCCAATGTCACTCCTCATCAGGAGTCGTAACCACCACACCTCGAGCACCAGCAGCATCAGCAACACCTGGTGCCTCCGGTCCCCTGCCTCATCACTCCTCCGTCCTCCTATCCCCTGCGTCCAGCCCCACTCACCTCTCCTCATCCCGCCAACCACCCACTGACAGCCCTCTCGCACCCACCACTCTTGCCTTCCCCGCTCCCCACCCTCATTGCCACACAGATCACCGTGCTGCCTCCACCCCCCCATCCCCTCTCCCTGCTCTCGCTTCCCCACCACCGCATTCACCGCAAGCTCTCCTTGCCCCAGTGGCCACTGCATACGCTGCCCCTCTGCAATCACCCTCTCACTGTCACCACCCTGTACAGTCACCATTAAGTATACCAATTCACTCTGCAGCAGTGCCTCGAGTGGCAAGCGGTGCAGAGGGGTCGCAGTGGGTGCTGCAGCGGGGCATGCAGCCCACCCGCAGCCTCAGCTGCAGTGATGGTGTGTGGGAAGGGGATGGGCGAGGGGGATGGTGTGAGGGAAGGGAATGGCATGGGTGCAAGCGATGGCGTGGGTGATGGCGACGGCATGGGTAGCAGCATGCTGTTAGAGCAGATGGATGATGCCATGCATGGCAACTTGCATGCGGGCATGCATGGGAGTCTGTATGGCGGTATGCATGGGGGCATACATGAAGGGATGCATGCAAGAGGCAGTATCACATGGGGGGATGCGCAAGGAGGGCCGGAGCCCCAGCAAGAAGCACACAGGCAGCAGCAGCTGCCACTGCACCGCATTGTGGCAGCTGCTTCTCCAAGTGTTACTCGAGTAACATGCAGCCCTAGTGCAGATGCTGTGTATGCAGCCCATGTGGGAGGGGTGGTGGTGCATGCAGTGGCTCCCTCTGCTGTAGTTGCTTGGAGAGGAAGGACAACAGGAGTAGGTGTGGCGGGTGCAGCAGGTGCAGCGGGTGCAGTAGGTGCAGCAGGCGGGGAAGCAAGAGCACGAGGAGCATCAGGTGCATGTGTATCAGCAGGTGCAAGGAGAGAGGATCCCTTGGTTACGTTGCAGAAAGGGGACTCTCCGCCGCTGCCCTTTGGAGACATCTTTACTCTTGACTCTGACTGACTGCATGAGGGACAGTGTACAGTTCACTTGTATCTAGAACTACACTACATGTAATATATTTTCTAAACACACTTGTGTGTGCAGTCCTGGCTGCCTAAAGCCAAGTCCATATCACATGGCATCTATATTGCATTCGAGAGGAGACCTGCTTGCAGGCACTGGCATTGCACACAGTGTAAGCACGCTGTCTTGCATCCGTCCTCACTCCCTCACCACCACTCGCCTGCTCTCCCCTGTACTTTCTTCCACTCGCCGGCACTCCAGCCGGTCAATCCTGAACCCTCGGATTCGAACCCACTCAGGGATCTCCGAATCCTCCGGGTCCACTCGCACAATCGGCCAACCACGGTTCGACACCTGGAGCCCTTCCAGCACCACCATCGTACCTCTCCCTGCCTTCACCCACAGCGCTCCCTCCAGCTGCAGGCTCTGCACCTCCACCCGCCCTTCCTGCTGCCCCTCCCCCTCCCTCTCACCTCTCCCCCCCTCCCCTGCTGCCCCACCCTCTATCTCCCCTGCCTGACCCTCCCTCCCCACCTCCTCTCCCTCTCCTCTTCCTCCATCCACCCCCCCTGCCACTTCAATGACCAAGGTCGAATCCTCAGAAATCCGCACTTGCTCGGGGTGGGGGAAGCGGGAGCGCAGAGCAGCGAGGGTGGGAGCCCAGAGGGGCGACCACACCACACGAGGCCACACCTCCACCTCCTGCCCGCCAATGACTGTGACCTTAGGGCCTGCCACGTGGACGCCTACGTGCCTCAGGATGAGACAGTTGGCGCGGTACATGTGGAGCTCTGCTGACGTGGCGCTGTGCGGTGGCGTGCCGGCTGCCAGCTTGGCGATGGCGTCGCGGAGATTGTTCTTCACGGGCGAATAGGCAAGCCACACGTCAGCTTCCTGGGAAGGGGGGAGGGAGTGAGGGAGTAAGGGAGGGAGGGGGGGGAAGGGAGAAGGAGAGGGAGGGAGAGACGAGGGGAAACTGAGGGAAGATAAATGAGCATATTGGGTGTGTCAAGCAAGGTTCCTCGCTCGACAATCGCAATAGAACATAAAGTAGAGGCAGCAAGTAACAGTTGTTTGAAGGCGACGGTAATAGAAAACAGGGGTCTAGGCAGAGAAGAAGAGGGGGAGGGGTGGAGATTTCAGCGAGGGAGAGAATGACATGAGAGAGAGGGGCTGGCTGACCGTGAAGCCAACAGAGCGAGAGGGCGAGATGGCCTGGGGGAAGTCCTGCATCATGCACTCGAGGCGCGTGGACGCCTTGAATGCCGTGCGCGAGGTGTCTGTATACCTGACGGGGGGGGAGGGGGGGAATACGGAGACGAGGGAGAGTAGGAAGAAGGAGAGGAGAAATCGCGTGAGTGATGGCCTGGGTGAAGTCCTGCATCGCATCATGCACTCGCGGCGCGTGGACGCCTTGAATGCCGTGCGCGAGGCATCTGTGTACCTGATGGGGGGGGAGGCGGGAGAGGAGAGGGAGAGGAGAGGGAGAGGAGAGGGAGAGGAGAGGGAGAGGAGAGGGAGAAAGTGCCAAGTGAAGTGGGTAGAGCGGGGTGAGGGACGAGAATGGCGGATGTGAGGGGAGAGGAAAGACAGCAGTGAGGGGAGAGGAAAGACAGCAGTGAGGGGAGAGGAAAGACAGCAGTGAGGGGAGAGGAAAGACAGCAGTGAGGGGAGAGGAAAGACAGCAGTGAGGGGAGAGGAAAGACAGCAGTGAGGGGAGAGGAAAGACAGCAGTGAGGGGAGAGGAAAGACAGCAGTGAGGGGAGAGGAAAGACAGCAGTGAGGGGAGAGGAAAGACAGCAGTGAGGGGAGAGGAAAGACAGCAGTGAGGGGAGAGGAAAGACAGCAGTGAGGGGAGAGGACAGACAGCAGTGAGGGGAGAGGAAAGACAGCAGTGAGGGGAGAGGAAAGACAGCAGTGAGGGGAGAGGAAAGACAGCAGTGAGGGGAGAGGAAAGACAGCAGTGAGGGGAGAGGAAAGACAGCAGTGAGGGGAGAGGAAAGACAGCAGTGAGGGGAGAGGACAGACAGCAGTGAGGGGAGAGGACAGACAGCAGTGAGGGGAGAGGAAAGACAGCAGTGAGGGGAGAGGAAAGACAGCAGTGAGGGGAGAGGAAAGACAGCAGTGAGGGGAGAGGAAAGACAGCAGTGAGGGGAGAGGAAAGACAGCAGTGAGGGGAGAGGAAAGACAGCAGTGAGGGGAGAGGAAAGACAGCAGTGAGGGGAGAGGAAAGACAGCAGTGAGGGGAGAGGAAAGACAGCAGTGAGGGGAGAGGAAAGACAGCAGTGAGGGGAGAGGACAGACAGCAGTGAGGGGAGAGGAAAGACAGCAGTGAGGGGAGAGGAAAGACAGCAGTGAGGGGAGAGGAAAGACAGCAGTGAGGGGAGAGGAAAGACAGCAGTGAGGGGAGAGGAGAGACAGCAGTGAGGGGAGAGGAGAGACAGCAGTGAGGGGAGAGGAGAGACAGGTGAACATGCAGTGTTATGTCATGGATGAGACAACATGTAAGACTTTCAATGCATGCAGCGACACAACACACTGCCCACTATCCTATCCCTTGCTTGCCGTTTGACTCACTTGGGGTTGACAAACTCCCCGATGACTCCATGTGTCTTAGCGAGTTCCTCTATATAGGGGCCCAGGCGCAGCACCAGCTGCAGAGGAGAGGCAGTGGGGAGAAGAGGGGAGTGAGAGTCTGGGGTAGCTCTATGGGGTGCAAGGGAAAGGTGGAGGTGTGCGGGCTAACCTGGAATGCACGGCATGGCATGGCGTGTCATGGCATGGGGTGTCATGGCATGGGGTGTCATGGCATGGGGTGTCATGGCATGGCGTGTCATGGCATGGGGTGTCATGGCATGGGGTGTCATGGCATGGGGTGTCATGGCATGGGGTGTCATGGCATGGGTGGCATAGGTTGGCATGGCATGGGGTGTCATGGCATGGGTGGCATAGGTTGGCATGGCATGGGTGGCATAGGTTGGCATGGCATGGGGTGTCATGGCATGGGTGGCATAGGTTGGCATGGCATGGGGTGTCATGACATGGCGTGGAAAGAAAGACCTGGTTGATGTTCCCGGGGAAGGGTGAGAAGCCCGTGGTGGGGTCGTTGGCATCGCCATCACCATGCCCGCACGCCCGCAGCAATGGGTCGAGCTGGTTGTACTCCACGTTCACCACCATGCTGCGCCCTGTGTGGTGTGATGCATGGTGTGGCACATGCATGCATGCATGCATCGACGGATGGATGGATGAATTTAAGACCCATCACAGCCTTGGGTGCCCATGCCCATGCCCATGCCCAACAGCCGATCCCGTACTCCCTCCCCTTTACCGCAACCTATCTACCCCTCTCTCAATCAATACCATCGGAGTGCGTGAGTCTGGCGATGCCCCCAATGGCCTCCTTGGCCTTGCGCGGCACGGCTAGGGAGTTCACGTCCAGCTGCCTCAGCGCACTCACCCCCAGCGAGCTGGGCACCACCTGGCAAGGGAGACGAGGAGGCAGGCAGAGAGGTGTTGGAGTCTAATGAGGCGCGGAAACTGGGTTGGGAGGTGTGCAATTGATGCAGGTGACCCACTAGTGCACGGCCAGGGAGTTCACGTCCAGCTGCCTCACCGCACTCACCCCCAGCGAGCTCGCCACCACCTGGCATGGCAGCACGCCGCACAGGAGATGGGCGTAGGGGGAGGTATACAAGGGGGACGCAAAGAGAGGAGGCAGAGAGGGTAGGCTGACTGACAGCAGGTGGTGCTGTGCAGAGAGTCAACAGCTGCCATTTGCATGACTCTCCATGCATGGCTACGTGCATGGCACAACGGTGACCAGGGGCTGGAGCTGAATGGACACGCCTTTGATACGTGCACGCCATGCTTATCCTAGTGCTGTGCAGTGCGGTACGGTGCGGTGCATGTGTGGAGTACCTTGAAGAGCAGCCCGTTGGTGTCCTGAAAGAAGAGCACCCACTCCACTCCCGCTGCTCTCCTGCATGTGCCACATGCCATGTGCATGTGAGCGTGCATGTGCATGTGCCAAACATGTGGCTTTCTACTTTCATTGAAAACCCCAGCTAAATCACATGGAGACCATAGGACAATCCCAAATCCAGGGCCAATATTCAGCAGGAAAACATAATGGCTTCACAATTATTGCAAAACTTCATGGCATGGCATGGTGCGGCATGAGGGCGTGGCGTGGCATGAGGGCGCACACACCATGTGGGAAGGAGGCCGCTCTGATGCAGCAGCATGTGCACATCACC